AGCCCTCCTGATATTCTCGATCTTCTGAGCTGCTCTCTGCCGCAGGCTTCCCTTTTCTCTGGACCATTTTTCCCATTTCCCTGATCTTTGACATGACAACTCTAAGTGCCATGTAGTACAGTAGTTTAAAGACTTGATCAGCAGCCAGCATTCTCCTGAGTCCAGATTATACTTAAGCGAAGCAGCATAACGAAACCCTCCCCCACATTTTCTTAGGTTCATAAGCATGAGTCGACCAGTCAGCCATCTTCGCTCTGTAGGATTATGTACTGGAATGGAGGGTCCCCCTCCCCATTCTACCAAACAGAGCTCTGTAATATTAACATAAACCAGACGGCACCTTAATTCCTGTCAAGCGTTCTGAGTCATAACCTAGGACTTCATTTCTGAACCAGAAAAAGCAATGATTCATTTGAAAGTGAAGGTGACGAGGAGGCCAAGAATTGGAGTAGAGTCCCAGAGTGAAACCCCTTGGCAGCTCCTAGGCGATCTCCAGTCTGGCTGTTACCACGCAGCAAGTGGGGTCTCCTGGCCCACTGTCGTCACCCTCTGCAGGCAAATTCTGGAGAAAAAGGTTTGGTGATAAAGGAAAGAGGTGTTTACTCAAAAATTACACAATTTTGGAATAACAGATTTCTACATGCATTAGTCACTTATGCCTATCAATTACCGCTAAAATCTTTAACTCTTTAGTTACAATTTTAATCACTTAAACCTGTCAATTAAGGCCAAACTCTTTAAAACCTGTGTTCTCCTATCATTCCCACTGTTAGTTTTAATTATCTTATTTTTATAGAGTTAGTTTATAAACTAAAACAACAGAAGATACAAAAGCTCCCCAATTTTGAAAGAATAGCCAGCTTCTGCCTCAAAGACTGTCCCCTGTAGAACACCCAAGGAAAAATAACCCTGCCACCCCCTGCCAGGCCAGCCCGATCCCAGGCTATGCCTGGAGTTCCTTCCCATCCAATGTACTGTCCATTGGGAAATGCAGGCAGCTGCGGCACAATCACCCAGGCACCCTGGAGGAAGAAGAGGGAGCAAAAGAGCCAGCAAGCCCGAGAGCCCTTCTTTTATTTCAAATCTTCTAGCCCATCATTCCATGCTGGAGGCATTCAGCTTCTCAGCCAATCCCATCTTAGACCATTTACCATTGCTCCAGGCAACCTCCTCCTACGGGCCCTTCCTACTCCTCCCCAGTGATGTGATCAGATCTGTCTACAGCACAAGCAGCCAGTAGGACTCCCTGCCAAATACCCAGACTTACTGGAGAGTACTGGAAGTGTCCTGATGTTGCCAGGAAATGAGATTGGAAAAGTCAGCATCCATGCTGCCTGTCACTACCAGAACCAGTAAGTAGAGACAAGAATTGAATCTTTATGGGCGCTTTATTCATTGCCAGTGAACTGAGAAGATGGCAGGTTATGTACCCTCAAGAACTGTATTAACTTCTCATCTCAAGCTGACCTTTTTCACAGGGAGAAGAACAGAGTAGGTAAGGGGTTCCGGAAAATGTTAATCAGATAGGACTTGCAATCTGTGGCAATTTCCTAGTATTTCTTTATCTGTGGATGACTCACCTGGATCCCTTGCAGACCCCTGGGGCACAAGGGTTGAATTATTTATGGACCTCCTGGAGTCACGTAGGTTGGGCATTCCAATCCCTGGAATAACAGGGTTCCACTTGCTTTAATCACTGAAGCCTGTCAACTAGGACTGAAGCTAAAATCTTTAACTCTCGAGTTAACCCTATCAAGAGGGTTCGTCACTCGGTGACTTAGAGGACACATGGACCCTGCACATAGATCCTGCACACCTGGAGCCCCTGACATTTTTTAAAATATCAATAGTACTTTTTTGAAATTGAGGTACAATTGACGTAACATTATATTAGCTTCAGGTTTACAATGTAATGATATTTGTATATATGGCAAAATGACCACGACAATAAGTCCAGTGAATATCCATTACTATACATAGTTACAATTTTTTCTTCATGATGAGAACTTTTAAGATCCATTCTCCCAGCTACTTTCAAATATACAGTACAGTATTCATTATAGTCACCATGCCGTAATTACATTCTCATGACACTCATTTTATAACTGGAAATTTGTAGTTTTTGACCCCTTTCACTCATTACCCCGCCCTCACTCCTTGCCTCAGGCAACCACCAATCAGTTCTCTATGTCCATCAGCTTGGGTTTTGTATTTTTTAAAGATTTCATGTATAAGTTACATCTATTGTATTTATCTTTTTCTGTCTGACTTATTCTACTTAGCATAAGGCGTTCAACATCCATCCATGCTGTAACAAATAGCAATATTTCATTTTTTATGACTGAATAATGTTCCATTATATGTAATATTTCATATATAATGCATATATATTTTTGTGATATATATAAATGTGAAATATGAAGGTCTGTCCAGAAAAAGTCCAGCCATTGTTAATATAATGAGAACAGTTTGCGTGCAACATCAGTGTAACCTGGCAGCCAAGCAAAGTGGACTGGAATGTGCATGTGTGAACAATGACACCCCCACTGTACTAGTCAGTGGGGGTGGCAGACGATGCTGAATGAGCGTGTGTACTGTGTGGCCATCACACTGAAATGACTGAGCAAGTAGAGCAACAAATCTGCACCAAATTTTGCATTAAGCTTGAACAGTTCTCCGCAGAAACTATCTGGATGATTCAGAAGGCTGCAGCTGTGGGCAACTGGTGATTGGCAGCTTCACAACAAAAATGTGCCCACACAGTTCGTGCATCACATCTTGTGCAGAGTTTTTTGGCGAAACATCAAATCACCCAGGTGACTCAGCCCCTCTACAGCTCAAATTGGGCACCCTGTGACTTCTGGCTTTTCCCAAAACTAAAATCACCTTTGCGAGGGAAGAGATTTCAGACCATTGATGATATTCAGTGAAATACAACAGGGCAGCTGATGGCGATTGAAAGAACTATGTGAAGTCCCAAGGTGCCTACTTTGAAGGGGACTGAGGCATCATTGTCCTATGCACAATGTTTCAATAAATGTCTGTTTTTCATAGTACATGGCTGGATACCTTCTGGACAGAAAATATATATATCTCACATGTTCTTTACCCATTCACCTACTGGTGGACATTTGGGTGTTTCCATGTCTTGTATATTATAAATAATACTGCAATGAACCTGGTGGTACAGATATCTCTCTGAGTTAGCATTTTTATTTTCTTTGGATGAATCCCCAGGAATTCCTGGATTATATCTGAGCTCCTTATTGAAAGAGAGCTGCCCTGTGAGTGCATCCTCATTCGTAACAGGAGTGAAGGCGCTGACCAGTGCTAGTCACAGTTGAGCTCAGCAGTTGCTCCAGTCCAACTCTCTTGAGTAAGAGGGGAATTCGTGCTCTGATATGAGATGTGCGAATGAAGAAGGGGGTCTGTAATAAATCTGACAAGTCAGTGGCAGAGAGTAACTTTCCAGTGAGATCTGATCATAAATTCCTAACTGGGGAGGTCATGGTAGGCAGTCAAGACCCAGGCCCAGAACTTCTTCTGTGAAGGGTTTTTCTTTGCTTTCAGTAGCCCAGTCCCCTGTCCTAGTGCACCTAGGTTAACACACAGTGGAACTGTAGGAGTCACCTTTTTCCGACCCTTTCCAGGCATAATCACCTTCAAGGGAGCACTTGATCTTGTTAACTGTCTTGTACCTTGCTTTCTCCCACCTTCCTGTCATTTCCGTACCTCCCTCCTTAATGCCAAATGCGTAGAAGAAACTGCAAAACTAGCATTCTGCAGAGCAGCTGAGATCACGCTTTGCAGCGTGCCATCAGTTTGGCTCAAATAAACTCTTACGAAAATTCTCTACAGGTTTGGACATTCTTATATTAACAGATGGAGTCATAACTAGTATTTCAGACACCAGGGGCCAAATGATTAGTGATGTCATACTCCTCCGCCAGGAACCCCTGGTGACTGCCCACTGCCTGCAGGAGGAAGTCCACCTCCTTTAGCTGGGCTTCAAGGAGCTCCAGGAGCCTACTCTCACCTTTCCACCTTGGCCCTTGACTTCTTAGAAACTCATGAGTACCTGCTCTGCCAATTTTGACTGATTTGGCAGCATCTTAAGAATTAATCTTTATCTTTGGTGGAATATGCATTGTCGTATTTGGTTGATTCTAAGACGTACACTTTTCCTCATTTTAACATCTGTAGGGTAAGTGGAGGCAGTCTGGCTTCCTCACCCAGGTGTCTGGGTAACTAAGGGAAGCAGTGTTCTCATAGCCTTGGAAGGGCCTGATAACCAGTGTGCTCTTAGCCTTGGGACTGGGTCTGATAAAGTGTTCCCATAACACAAATGGGCTTGTATGCATAGGATTATGTTATGTTATGTAATGTTCTGCATTTTTTTCCTGGCTTTGTTCCCCTCTTGTACTTAAACAAGTAGGGGCTTCTCACTAGAGAGAGACACACAAGGGGACAGGTGCCATGATGAGTGCCACACTGGGGAACAAGGGCCCTGACATGTACCACACACAGACATGGAGATAGATATGCACCTTGCAGCGTGCATGGCCACCCACCCATGGATAAAGGCATGTCAGACATCCCAACGGCTCCATGAATATTATTCCATCTGTGCAGATACCATGGACATGCCCAGCCCTGAACGATCGCAACACAGCATCTTACTGATTTAACATTGATTTTACAACCGATGGCATGTCATTGTTTATTTGGCAGCAACTTTTTCCGTAATAGTGATTCCTGAATTAAGGGTGTGTCTTACAAGCAAAGGTGCCTCAGGTTTAATGAAGTATGCTAAGTAGCGTTTTCTGGATTTGAGTTCTAGAAGTTCAGCCAGAGGCTGGGAACCTGCGTGCCATTCTCTCTGAGCCTTTCCCTCCCAATCAGGCCTGGGCCTGGTGCAATGGGGGTGATCTCTAGAGGTCGGTAAGGTCCCCTAATTGTAACCATGTATAACCATGGCTGATATTTAAAATGTCCCCCGCCAAGGAAATCAAGAATTGCACTGCCTCACTACCACAGATTATTCAGTCGAGTGTCCCACCTTTGGGGAAATTGCAGGCATCAGCCCACCTGGAGTGCAATGGGGTGAGCCTCCCCCTGGGAAAACCACCCTCAGGATCTCCCCTGCGGGGTAAGTACTGATATTTCAAATGTTTAATGACCAGACCAATCCGAACAGAGGTCTGCTGAAAACAACTCGTCTGTCTGTCTGTCCCAGAGCAGACCTGAGCCCCGCCCTGGCTGTGTGGTGTGGCCAGCAAGTGGCAAAACGGGGATGCTAATGCAGTTCTGTCTGACCTCAAAGCTCGTGCCCTTTAACTTCCCCATCTGCCATCCTGGAGGGACACTGGCACCTCGAGCCCTGAAGGACTTGTCTCCCTCACTCTGTTATAAGTATCCTGAGGGCAGGGAGTGGGTGAGTCATTTTTTATTGGCCACCTCACGCCCCAGTCTACATGTCGACAGCTGGCTCTGGGACCACGGAGGAGCAGAGACCTGAGTTGTAGTGTTTTCCATGTAAACACTGCCATCCTGCCGGATGTCGAGCTTCTGGTGTGATGTCGCTGAACAGGAAGCCGGGGAGAGATGTGCAGAGCTACACTGGTGTGTGGCATTTCCACCAGACGGACACAACAGTGTGAATAACCTCAAGAGCACAGACAACAGTAAAACACAGCGAACTAATCAGGAAGTGAATGAGTTTTGATGAATACCTTTGTGTAAATCACATTTCTTCCATTTTAACTTTATGTAACTTAATCCTTAATAATTAGTGTATTTAACAACTGGCTTGCAAATTTCCTGAAAATTTAACCATTAAGTGCATGACTGGTTTGAGCTGTCTCAGGCACACCACCGCTGCAGTCCAGTACAAGGCTTTGCTTTCAACAGGCACTGGGACAGTGTCGAGGATGCTAACAAAAAAGAACATGATTATTCACTAATGAGCTTTGACTAGAGCTGGTAATCCAGACTTCAGTATTCTTTCCTGTGTCTGAGAGTTTCTTAGTTCCATTGCTCATACTGAAAAGAAGGCCAAAAAATAAAAACTATTTAAGGGTGGAGACCAAAGAATAGCCAAGTCTCCAGCTAAGGGCTTGTGTTGGGTGGGGCCCTAGGACTGCTTCCTGTTCAAAACGGTCTCTGCAGTCGGGCTTGAGCAAGCCTCTGAGCTCTAACTGTCTTCCCTCCTGGCCTCCCCGAACCAGGCCCCCAATGAGAAAGAGAAGTACTGAAGAAAAAGCACCAGTCATATTATTATTCTGTTACACTCCAGAAAGGACAGCTTCCCAGGAACTGGGGAGCCAAGAAATAAGCAAAAATTGCAGTGAACTGCCACCTCCCAAAGGCTCAAAGAAGTCTATAACCTTTTGTTATGGGTGCACAGTGCTGATGTCACTGGAAACTGGAGCGGGCAGGCGCAGCTTAGGGCAGGAGAGGGACAGCTGGTGAATCAGCTGTGTTGCACTCAGCACTATCCCTGTCCTGGTTCGGGGACTGTACCATATATGGACACAGGCTTAGGACTGCCGTCCAGCCAATTTGCATCTCGGCTCCCTTAAAATCGCACTTTGGGATTAGGTCATCATTACAAGTAAAAAGGAGACCCCCCAGAATGATCGGTCAGCATGAAGAAATCAGGGCCGATTGTGGTCTGGCAAGTAAAAGAGGAGAGGAGAAGTTGCAGCCCCTTTCTAGCTAAGCAGCTCTTGGGAATGAAGGGCAGAGCCTGAGAAAGCTGTGGGAGTGACTGTTCACAGTGGCTGCACAGGGCGGGGCTCGGCAGGACCTTCTGCAGAGGCCATTCTGCCTCTGGCTGGCCTGGGGCTTCAGGAGTTTATCCCAAGGACGATTCAGACAAGGGAAACAACTCCAAAATTTCAGATGGGAGAGGCAGCTTCCCTGACTGTGTGAAGGTGGCTGCAATGCCACCTGTGTAGAGGTACAGAAACCCCACCGGCAAAATGGGAAACAGTCCAGGCCCTGAGTGACTGAGGTCACCCACGTAGAACACAGCTAGTTAACCTCCACCCCGACCTATCCGTCCAGACTGAGGCACCCCCAGTGTGACACAGCTGGGGCCGTGGGAACCCAGGCAGCCAGAGGGGGAAAGCAGGTCAGGGAGTGACCTGGGAAAGTGGCTTTCCATAGATGGCTAATAAATTGAGTCCAATTTGTAAAGATTAACCAACTTTTGTGTTGTTGCCTCAGCAATTTGGCTGCTTTAATTTTTTGCTTTTAAGGACCATCTTGAATGATTTCAGGACACTTCCCTCTCTTGATTTGCTTCAAAAGACCAGAACCACGGAATACTCTACCACAGTGAGAATGTACTACTCCATATGCAAAACACACACAGATCTCACAGACATAATGCAGAGTGAAGGAAGGCGTGCACAAAAGAGTACTGTGAAATCCCATTTATATCAAGGTCAGAAACAGGCAAAATCAGTCTGCGATGCTGGAAGTCAGGATACTGGCTCCTTTGTTGGCCTTGCTGACTGGGAGGGGCAGGAGGGCTGCAGGGGTGCGGGCGATGTGCTAATTCCTTGTCTGGGTGATGCTTACACAGATGCAGACACATTGGGCTGTCCACTTACGATCTGTGTACATTTCTGTATATTTCAGTCAATGATTTCCTTTAAAAAAAAAACACCGAGGCGGAATGTGATCTTGTAAAATAAGTTGTCACAGGAACAGTGAATTCCTGTGTGCCGACCAAAAATAAGGCTCCGGGGGTCGCGGTCTGTATGCCAGGAGTCAGGGCAAGGAGTCAGAAAACACGATTTCTCAGCCCACTTCTCCTATTCACTGGCGCAAGGGGCTTAGAAAGTTAGCTCCCCTGCTTCTCACTTCCTTTTTTCACCTGTTTCAGGGGAGATGGAAGATGACTTGATGTTCATTTTGCCTCTCACATGACCTTCTCAGGGAGGACAAACCTCCAGACTGGGGAGCTCGCAGATCAGTTTTCACGTTGACACAGCGCAGACTCATGCAGACGCATGTCTAGGGCCGTGCACTTCCGAGCGTCCTCTGACTACCCCTCATCAGCCTTGCTGTTCCCACTCGTCTTCCTCACCTTCCTCTCCACCTCCCTCGATCTTAGGTGTACATTTCCTAGGGCTGTCACACAAAGTGCCACAAATCGGATGGCTTAGAACGACAGGAAATGTTTTGTTTCACAGTCTGGAGGCCAGCTGTCCAAAATCAAGGTGCTGGCAGGGCCCTGCCCCTCCGACGCCCCTGAGGATGGGCTCCTGGCCTCACTCCTGGCTTCTGGTGGCCTCGGGTGTCCCTGGGCTTGGAGGTGAGCACCTCGATCCTCCGTCTCTTTGTGGTGCTCTGGGATTTCACATGGTCCGCCTTCTGTGCGGGACCGTGTCCAAAGCCTCCCTTTTTATAAGGATACCAGTCATCAGATGAGGGCCCATCCCAGTTACCTCATTTTTTTTAAGTTTATTTATTTAAAAGACAGGAGGGGGGAGCCAGGGAGAGAAACATTGATTGGTTTCCCCTCGCACGTGTCCTGATTGGGGACCAAACCTGCAGCATGTGCCCTGGTGGGGAATCGAACCAGCGGCCCTTTGCCCTGTGGAGCAATGCCCAACCAATGGAGCCATACCAGCCAGGGCTCAATGAACTCATTTTAACTTGATGACCTATTTCAAATAAGGTCACATTCTAAGGTACCAGGTGTTAGACTTCAATATATATTTTGGGGGAGACACAATTCGACTCATAACAGGCAGTGATTAAAAGGTTTCGAGAAAACCCAAAGTAGCCCCCTAAATCTATGCCCTGCCAGGTAAGGTTAAGGATCCCAGTGGAAGACCAAACAGCAAAAGACTTGGATAAACAGCAATAACCTCTTAAGTATGTAGCGTGCTTCCCACTCTGAAAGCACTTTCAGAACCATTATACCATGTGATTCTTCACAATAAGAAAAACAGACATGCGGGCTCTGGGGCCGGGCTGCTTGGGCTGGAGTCTCAGCTCCACCCATTCCTGTCTGCCTGACCCTGGGAATATTACCTCTGTGCCTCGAGCAGGTATATGGTGAAGAGCAAATGGATTAACACCTTGCAACAGGGCCCAGGACATGGTTAGCATTTGAGAAATATTAGCTACGAGGACAAAGTGCCAGATAGTGTCACCTACATGTCACAGATGAAGACAATGAGGCACAAAGACTAGCACGAGGCTAATTCAAGGCGGATCCAGAACTGAACCCAGCCCTTCCGGGTTACAACACTGAGTTGTCAGACTATCTGGTATGTCCTGCTGTCCATCTTTAGGAAAGAGTAATAATGACAAGCACTCACCAAATGCCAAGCACTATGCTAAGTGCTTTACAACCAGCATCTTACCTACCTATGCAGCAGGTATAGTCATCTCCGTTTTAGTGAAGTGCAGATTGAGACCTAAAAATTCAGAAGGCAAGAGCTGAGTCAGCCAGCTAGTGATGGGGAGCCAGCATTTGAAAACAAGTCTCTCCAATGCCAGAGTCTGAGTTTTTATGCTCCGTGACTGCTGGGAAGAAAAAGACCACTGTAGCTGCTTGCTTTATAAACCAATAAGGGTTGCCAGGATGAATTGAGTGATATTTATAAGTTCCCCAAGGACCAGGAAGGAGCCATTCTTCACTGTTCTTCATCTTTTACCCCACTGCCTCAGGCACTGGGACCCCCATAGGTCCCACTATGCTCTTGAGGAAGGATTTGAAGATCTTAAGAAGCCAGACCCAGGTGGAGAAGCAAGAAGCACCAGATGAGTGCTTGATAACCAAGGCCAAGGCTGGGCGGCCAGGGGGACTGTCTGATGCTGTCCGAGACAGAGGAGGACCCAATGCCAGAACCCAGAGGTAGCCGCAGTGCCCCCGGCACAAAGGCTTTGTGATATCGATCAAGTTTGTGAAAGGAAGGGAGAAAAGAATGGCACCTCACAGGGTGCCACTAGTCTGAGAAAGGGGAAAGCTGCTCTTTGCAGGTGGCTTCAGGTGTCAGCCTGGGAACACCTTCCGGATTTGAGATTTCAAGGGAGGGCCTAAGGTTAGCGGTGCTCTGGAGGGCTTTGCCCAGGCTGGAGCGACATACGCCCTGATGCATACACGTGGCTGCTGGCAGTGGGGATGGATGGGG